TCGCCGTGCATGGCATGCTGAATTCGCGAGACCGACTGTAGTCGATCTGAAGAACGTTCGTACGTGCTCTCCGGCGCATCTAGAGGGTCCTTCAGCCCAGCCCATCCACCTGTTTGTCCGCGTGAGAGCTCCGGCTCAGGTCCAGGTGATGGCCGAAGAGCGATGAGGACGGCGGAAATGTCCGAAAGGTGGTGAAGCAAGGTGGTGGGAAGAGTGGTGGAGGGAGGAGGAAAAATGAAGGGAGTGAGTTTTTCTCCGGGGCTCTGGGTTCCGGAGCTTGGCCGGGGCCAAATGACGTATCCAACAGCTTTTCGGCCTCAGCTCGGCAAAGGGAGCCTACGATGGGATACTTCTGTGGTTCTTCGCGCATGCTTACAGCGTGTCAATAGCCGGCGAGGACGTTGGTCTCAATCTTTGGAGAGGGAAATGGTGGACTCGGACTTTCAACTCGAGAGGGACACACACAGCTTCCCCACCGGAAGCGCGCGGACCCCGAAATTCCTCCAAGGCAAATAGCGAGACAAAGTCGTCCGCGAGTCAAACGCTTGGAAAAAGAACTACATAGTTGGGATTCGTCTCAAACAGGAGGCGCGTGGTCTCGCTCGAAATGAGCCGAGACAGTTGCGACCATCGAAGTCATTCATTCGTCCTCTTTGAAGAAGCTCATTAAAGTGCCTTTCGAATCACTCGGACAGCCCCAAGCAGTGGGAGACAAGCAAGAAGACTAAGCTCGACTGCTCTGGGCAAAACGTTTCCGCGAAAGGAATTCATTCCAAGAGGAAATACACATGTTTATGATCTTGACGTTTCGGGCGAAACGGTCGCCGCCGCATGTATTCCTCTCAATCAGGACCGGTGCACCGGAGGAATGCTCTGGCGCAAGGACCGCTCCCCTGTTGGGCTCGATGGTGGATCAGTCGCTCGGTCGGTCTGTCCGTTCGTTTCCCTGTGAGTCGATGTGACCGATCAGACGCCTACCAGCGAACGATCCAGGCAAAAAGAGGCAAGGCACATGCCGACCGGCTTCGCCCTGGGGGAAGACGCTGCGTGATTTTGCCTGAATCAGGCTCATCAAGTGTTCATTACGAGCTGCGTTGTCGTTCTGACCGCACTATTCGGCCTGACCACCACCATAACCACCGGCTGCCGGTCGGAGACAGGATAGCAGTATCAGGCTGTTTCTGCCGTCGGGACGTGCCAGTCCGAGGATTCAAAATAATGCCAAGTGCTCCCGGGACTCGTTAAGAGCTGGCAGCTGCGATGCTGGAGGCGGCCGGTCGTAATGGAAAAAATGAATATTCGCCAGGGTCGCAGAAACCTCAGCGGGAACGCAACCCGTGCCGAGATCCCTTCCCTCGTCGGTTCGGATTCGATGGTGTGCGAATAATTTCGAAGAGATAACCTAAGCTCCCTTCGCTCCGGTTCCCGGTCGTCCATCTCCGCCATACTTCGTCAGCGTCCCAGCAAATCGCCCGTCTGCCCGCAGACGTCCGACTCCCGAGACGCAATACCAATTCTTTCTCCCGGCATCCGCTCCGTACTGTATTCCCATCCAGGTCATTTTGAATCGAGAGGTTTGACTTTTGGCTTGAGATTTTCGAGGGCACTCGAGACATGGGAGGGTAAACAGTTCCAAAATAAGCAGCAGCAGCAGACCAGCGGACACCAGTGCCCTCGAACCTGCACGGTGGCTGACTCGCCCGATGGCTGCTTGCTCGCTTGGCTGCATGTGACGTTCAGCGACGAGATCAATGGACGACACGACGACATGTCGAGAAAACGTCAAACGAGCGTTCTGAAGCCTCCGTGACATTTTTTTGTCCGGAGCTCGCCGTCATTCTCCTTCGACTTGGAATTCCGCTCAGAAATGCGGCCGCGATGCGAATTCCTGAGCGAATCAAGTCATTCTGGAGACAAAGAGCGCCTCGGCTCAGCCCAAAGAACGAGGTCATATTTTTGAATGTTCCCCATAGTGTTACGGCGACCTACGTCCCTTGAGGGATAACACCCCACCGGAAATCGAGTAGATTACGCATGAGTCGTAGGTTCGCCCACAGTCGCGTTGCCGATTCGATGCCTGGTAGTTGTTTGGGATTCGTGACACCGAATCAGGCGCTCGGAACAGCCCATGGAAGAAATGCGTGGAGGAAATACTGCTAGTCTTCTTTGTCGAGCAGAGAATAGGTACCCGAAAGAACTCGTTTCCAAGTTTCGTGCCGCCGCCTCGCTATCGCAACGACCGATAGCCCGTGCAAGCCTCTACGAGGTATGCCGCAAGCCGGAATCAGCGACGATGGGAAGTCGAAGTCGGTTTTATTCGAACGAGGAATGCTTTTGACTCCGGGAAGGAGTCTAGAGCGGAGGAACGCAGTCGAATGCCACTGCAGCTTTTTGGCGGTGGCGCATCGACACGACCGAGATGCACGGCTATATCATGCTTGTTGTTGCGATTGCACTCCTGTTTTCCCGAGGGAACGCTCCGGCATCAACGGAATACTACAAAAGTCGGTGGATGGTTTTAAAGAAGCCAACAGAAGGAAATGCTTTTACAGAACAAAGCGAGTAAGGGAAGAGTTCGAACAACAAGCTATCGCTTCTGTCTGAAAGCTCTAGAGAAGAGAGGAAAGCTCAGCCCAAAGTTGTGACACGGCGCTTCTGACCGCAGAGTCTCGCGACGCGAACTGTAACGCTTCTGTGACTCAGTCAGCACAACCCCGCGAGGGAGGGTTCCGGGAGGTTCCCATCAACGTTACCTATCCGTGAGTCGTGGGTGGCGTAGGATGAATCTTTCTGACGCATGGTTTTCGATAGCGGGCGAGTAGAAAAACTTCGGGTCGTTCCGGGAAATCCCCATCGGCATTCCGGCACCGAAGTCTTCTGGAGTATATGCGACTCATCCGCCGGGAAGCTGTCTTGGGAATCAGAATACCTAAGACGGGAGCCCTATTTTGAGAGCGTAGAAGGCGAGAGGATTCGGCTCCCAGGATCAAGTTCCCGAGAAGACGATTCACCAGGAATGTGAGGAACGCATGCTGTGACGGCGTTCTCCCTGTCGGCCGCCGCAGCATTTATATTTTCCGACGATACTCGATTGAATTCCTGAGGTCATATTCCGTCATGAAATTGATGCACTCCAGTTTCGTGTAGTCTCCAGAGAGGCTCTCCATTTGGTGGAGCAGAATCGCAGAAAACAGTTGGCCGTTTCCTAGTCGGACTGTTACTGTGGGATCGACAGGCCGCGGAGCGATTGTCTGAGCCTTTGGCGCGAGAGGTGAACTGTCTCATGAACGCTCTTCCGTTAACTTCGTACCTGGAGCCGGTCGAATATTATTCACCTTGTAGCGTGCTCTGACCCTCCGATCCCCGTTCCCGGGACCATGTTGATGGAAACATAGACGAGCTCCCTCTAATATTCCGGGAAGAGAATCCAACGTTGCTCCGCCGCGGACGAATTGTCTTTTTGCTTCGGCTCCGACCGATTGCTGCATTTAGGACCTTCAACTCCTTGCACTACCCAAACGAGAAAACACCGTTTCCTGGACTCGGAAATTAAGAGCCGAATTTTCCCCCCTGCCACGCTTGACGCTAGAGTCCCGAATCCCTGAGATCTTCGGTTGCCTCGGATTAGCGTCACCCTCGTCCCAGCGGAAACTAGTAGTGCTTATAATGCTATACTGTTGCTGATCGCGTTGCCTGCCGCCTCCAATCGGATGTCTTGACCCGGACCGCGATTTTCGTTCCATCAGGCCTGAGATCGCGCATCATCCTAGGAGTCATGTCCTCTGTCGCCCCGCGCTCTACGAGATCGGCGATGAGAGAGGTCGAAAACATTCGAAGGCAGGTCCGGCCGCGGTCCTTCCATCGGCTACTTTCTCCAGGGTTCTGACAACGAGCACGAGGCATCTTCATTCGCGCGATAAACATCATCTTCGATCGAGTCGGTACGGTCGATCCTGTCACGCGAGGTATGCAAATCGCTGTCGATCGGGTCGGCCTGAACTTCGATGTGAAGTTTTGGTCGCAACATACATATTTTTTTTTATCGTAAGAATCATCGTCGTCATGCTGATCCGAGCCTTGCTGAAGTAGACGCGCTCTTGCGATGGAGCCACGGAACTTCGACGGAGTCCTGTGATCGGAGGCTGATTCTCTGAGCAGGGATTCGCGCAAACGCAATGAAAGCCAAAACTTTCGCACACGATTCCGCTCGATTGGGGCTGATGGCATTCATATATGTATGTACAGTAGAGCCTAGAACTGAGGTCAGAGCCACTGGTATCGAAGTTTCCGATCGCAAACTTGGACGATCCAGACGAATGGAATCTGGAAAGAATTCGTTCAAGGCGATCCGAATGAAAATTTCCTTGTACATAGGATAGGAGCTGCGACAGCGAGCAGTTGCTCTGATCAGCTGGATCGATCGTCGACTATTAGAAGTCAATTCACAGATATCGGATCTCTTCTCAACATTGCTGTTCCGGATGCGCTGCAGTGAAGTACGTACGTATAGGCACTATCAAAATGATGACAAGCTTATCGTTGCCAGATTTCCTTTTCGCGAGTCTGTCGGGGAGCGCGCGACCGTAAAAGCAGGCTCTATTCGGAAGTTGGGAGTCAGAGTCGCGTCGGGGACGTTCCGGGTCGGATCGGGCGTCCGGCCGAACGGCGTAATCTTCGCAATCTATCGTGACTGCTAGATTTTTCTGCTCGATGCAACTCCATCCGAAGGAACAGCAGCGCCAGAGAGCAGTGAAATAGCATTTGAGGATTCCGATCCGGGGTTTCTAACTCCGCACGAAGCGATTCACCGGATCTCCAGACGGCTCCGATGCAGAGTGGGAGCGTCAGATCCGCGCGGCCGCGGGCAGAGCTCGAGAGTCGACGCTCAGTAGCGGTCCAGCCGCATCCGCATCAAAACAATCAAGACCGCCTGCGAGCAGTCGTTCCACGGCGGCGCTTATATGATGTGTCGAACTTGCGTACCGGCTTCGAATGATGACTGCCTGAAACGGCTCCGAATCGGTGCGATTCCCGCGTGAGGCCTCCAAGTTTCGTGGCAACTCCCCGCGAATGTGTCTCGGTGGGTGTCAGCGAAGGGAACTTGAGGACAGTATCGAACGCTCGACCGGGGGAGTAACCGTTCGATTGATTGACCGACCGACTGACTGAGCCGCCGACTGACAGATCGTCCTGTCAGCCAGCCATTCGTCGACATGTCTCTACTCTCGGACTCTGTGATTCTGCTTTTTTCGGGATGCACGTTCTTCGCCGGAGGATCGATATTCTTCATGAAACAACTATTTAAGAATTACGAAATTCAGAACCGACTCGTGCAACTGCAATTTTCGGCCGTCTTCACGCTGTCCTGTCTGATGTTCGAGTTGATCATTTTCGAGATCATCGGTTTTCTCGCATCGACGTCGCGCCTGTTCCACTGGAAACTGGTTCTGTTCATGATGCTGGTGATGCTCATCGTGGTCCTGCCTTTCTACATCGGCTGCCTTGTGATTCAAAACGCGACTTTCATCCAAAAACAGAGACCTCGGATCGTTCTCGGTGTCATATCGTATTTCGTGTTCCTCTTCGCCTTCTGGAAGATCGGGGATAACTTCCCGATCCATAACCCGAAGCACGGAATTTTCGGAATGGAACAGATAATTTCCCGGGTCGGTGTCATCGGAGTTACAGTGATGGCTCTGCTGTCTGGTTTCGGAGCCGTCAACTATCCGTACACCTCGATGGCCTACTTCATGAGACCCGTTACGGACTCGGATGTGGACTTGCTTGAGAAGAAGCTCATTCGATTAATGGAGAGAATAGTAACGAAGAAGAAACTCATCGCACAAGGTCTAAAGAGCCAGGCTGCCGCCAATCGATCCTTCTCCAGAGTCCTCTATGATGCGATGTGCAGCGTCGCGGGAGCCGTCAGGCAACCGACCGAGGATTTGGCGAAACTCCGTCAGGAAGTTCGCGGAGAAGAAGAAGTATCGCGACACTTATTCATCGAGTGCGTCGATCTGCGCGGGGCGCTCGAGCGGATACAGTGGTCGAAAACTATCAGAGGTAGATACTTCAACTTTATCGGCTACTTTTTCTCGGGCTATTGTGTATGGAAGATCTTCATTTGCACGATAAACATCATCTTCGATCGAGTCGGCAAAGTCGATCCTGTCACGCGAGGTATGCAAATCGCTGTCGATTGGGTCGGCCTAAACGTCGACGTGAAGTTTTGGTCGCAACATATTTCCTTCTTCCTCGTCGGAATCATCGTCGTTACCTCGATCCGAGGCTTTCTGATAACGCTTACGAAATTCTTCTATGCGATAGCGAGCTCTAGATCTTCGAACATCATAGTCCTGCTGCTCGCTCAGCTCATGGGCATGTATTTTGTGTCGTCTGTGCTACTAATGAGAATGAACATGCCAGCTGAATACCGGAGTATCATTACCGAAGTGCTGGGCGAGCTTCAATTTAGTTTCTACCACCGATGGTTTGATGTGATTTTCTTGTTCAGTGCCTTGTTCAGTATCTTCTTCCTCTACCTGGCTCACAAGCAGGCTCCTGAAAAAGACGCAATTTTGTAATGAGGCCACGTCGGGACGACGACGTCGACGGAGCCCGGCCATCCGATCCTCTGAGCGAAGAACCCTGCGTAAGAGATGAAACCTAAGACATTCGCTCGAGCCGCGGTGCGTTAATTATACGAGATGAGCCATTGTACAGTAGACGTTAGCGAGTAAGTAACTCGCCGTGAAGAGATCGGTCGTTGACGCAAGCATGTTTGTAAACCAGGAGAATAATACATGGAAGAATGTTGTTGATCACGGTCGAATCCGGGACTTTTCCCTCTGCTCGCCTCCTCCCTCACTGTTCATGTTTCCACGTCGAGGGAATACGGCACGGCCGGACTCGGCGATCAAGGGCGAACGGATTGGACTTGCGACAGCCGACGAGACGCTCGTTCCGCGGATAGTTGGACCGATCGTCGATTAGGAGTCAATTCACAGATATAGGTTCCTCCCTCATTACTTCTTTTCCGGATACGACGGGGAAAATAGTGAGTATCGAAATGATGACATGCTTATCGCTGCCGGTCTCTTTCTCGCCACTCAACGAGCAAGCAGGCAGGCGAGGAAGCAAGCAAGCAAGCTCCATTCGGGATCAAGGAGTCAGAAGCGCGCCGGAGACGTTCCGAGCGGGTCAAATCGGGCGGGCGGACGGCCGGCCGGCCGAGCGAGCGGCGTAATCTTCGCAATCCATCGTGACTGCTTGATCCTTCTGCTCGTTGCAGCTCCATTCAGCGGGAGTGCAGTGCCATGGTGAAATAGCATTTGAGAATTCAGATTCGGACTTGATGGCGAGCGGGCGGAATCGCCCGCTCCCTGCCCTCGGGCGAATGGGATGCGACAGGCAAAAAGGCGAGTTCCCCTCGGGGCAGAGCGGGGCGGAACGCATCGAGCGACGGAATGAGCGAACTCAGGGAGCTGCCACTCGAAAAGAAAGCCGCCAGCAAAAAGCGGAATGCACTGTTGAACTAATCAGGAGCCTTTCCAAATACAAGTAGCGACGACGACGACAACAACAACAAGTATGTCGACGACGCGACGTCGCGGACTCGGAGTGGGACTGATAAAAGAAATGGGATGGCTTGATGCAGACGATGGAATGAGTGGAGTTTATGGATCGATAGACGGATACATCGCCACTCGTAGAGACTCCTCCGGGGGCTCCAGCAGATCGCAGAACACATTGCGCTACGAGGAGTCAGTTGGAGACCTCGTGCTGGTAGGCGGGCGGCGGCGGCAGCTTCGTTAGAGTTGATCTTGCGTTATTCCTTCCTCAATCTGATTCATGGAAGCCGTCGGCTAACCCCTGACGAGATCGTTAGACGCGCAGACACACCGGGTCGGAAAGCAGCGGATGTCTGTCTGGCCAGCCGACAGGCGCAGAACGTCTGCGAGCTAGTACAGAGCCTGCGAAGCTCAAACAAGGGTTCGTCTGTTCTTTGTCGTCGTCGTCGTCGTTGTCAAACGGAGCGGCTCGGTTGGTCGGTTTGTCGGGCAGGCGTTCGTTGCCTCCCTCGGAAAACATTTCTTCGTTTTTATTTTTTGCTCGTGTCGCACAGGCCTGTTTGTCATCCACGGCATCAACTCCTCGGCTCTTGGGGAAACTCGGATGGCTTGACGTAGAACAAACGATGACAACAGCCAGCGAGGACCGACGGTGCCGAACGAGTGAGTGAGCGAGCGAGCGAGCGAGCGAGCGGGCGGGCGAGCAAGCGAGCGACGACTTCAAACCACTTCGCTTGATGAGAGGAATGCCGTTGCCAACTGGATGAGGACGACGGTTGAGAGGTCCGCGACCGACGACGGCTACATGTTCCCCATGTCCTCGTCGCGTGAGCTCGGCAAGTGAGAAGACTTAATAACACAGCTCGGAGAGAGAGAGAGAGATACATATGTATGTATGTGTACTTCATGCTACATAGTGCAATAATGATGACTCGAACATCGCTGCGGAGTCGTGAGTGGCCTACGAGTGGCTGCATAGCGGCGGCAGCAGCAGGAAACGGGCTGCCTGGGGACGGTTGGCTAGGCGGCCGGGGTTAGAGTCAAGCGGTGTCGCCGCCGCAACCGCCGCGGCAACATGGACATAAGCATAGTTCGCTCGTTGGCTGATGACGAGATTGGCCTCCAAGGTCATCCTGTCAGCCACGAGCAGAAGTGTTTTACACAGATTAATACCGGCTCTGCTGGCTCAAACCTTCCGGACCCTTTCAAATCTCTCTCTGGGCGTGGTTGTGTAATGCACGCCATTCGTTCCCGTCGTATACGTCGTCGTCATAAGCTCGCCTGTCCCCTATTCCTTACTAATTCGTTGTGCGTTGGCCGTAGATCTCGCCGAGAGTTCTGTGGACTCGAAGCCTCTCGGTCAATGATGATCAAAGCGGGGCCTACGATGTCTGCTTCGGTTCTGAATCTCGCTCAGTGAATTTCTTGCGACGGAAGCTGAGCTCGGAGTCCCGCCGCTAGGCGTTGTCGCCGACCGACCGCCCGACGAACCGACTGAGTCGGAGGGTGGAAAATCCGACCTTTCCGAGCGGACGGTAGCGACGCGCAGTACTGGCGAATCACTGCGAGAACGAGTAGAGTGAGAGCGGATGGAGGAACAGAAGATCGAAAATGGGGCAGAAAGGCGCAGTGAGAAATCTGCGGAGCGGGGGGGAACTATTGAACAGGAGGCACTAATGATCGTCCCATGGAAGCGGCGGCAGAGATGGCGGCGGATGAGCGAACGGAGCTTTCGCACTAGAGGGAAGAGAGAGTTGATCCTTTGAAAGTTCCTTTTTTCCGCTTCTCCCAACTTTGATGTTGCGTCGAACGAGGTTATTATCGATTTCTGTTGCCGTCTTCTGCTCGTCTGGCTCGCTGGCTGCGTGCCTGCCTGACTGGCAATTCATTCTTCCGTAGAGGAATAATTAGTTCTTCCTTCTCTCGCTCGTACTTGGTCGTTCTTTCTCGCTCTTCTCCCTGATGGATGGATGGATGGATGAATGAACGGTGGATCGGTCGCTCGGAGGTACCGACGAGTAGAAAACTCGCATCGGAGGCGGCTTGATGGTGTTTACCGGATGCGGATACGCTACGCGTGCCGGACGACCTGCTCCTTCGCGAGGCTCAGCTGTGGGACGTTCGCTCGCGCTTGCTCCCCACTCTATCCGGTGTCTTTCTCTCCCTGGCGCCTCTCCTGGCGGCGTTCACCACCACGAAGCCCAATGAAGCTATCGAACTCGAGAGCCCGTTGAAGGTGTCTGGGCTCCGATCCGCTTTTTCAAACTTAATGTACTGACGTCGAGGAAAATGGCTTCAGAGCTGCCAGCGAGCGAGCGATCGTGCGGGGGCAGCTGGCCAGGTCGTCGGTCAACTCTCTCTCCCCGCGTCCTAAACAGCCCTCCTCCCCCGAACCCCTAGCCCCTCCCCCTCGAATGCCGTCGATTCTCCCTCCGTCGAGGCAATGCCTTCAATTCTGTCTTCTTCCCCAAAGTTCAACCGATGTTCCGTGCTGCTTGCGACCTTCGAGGAGCCGATTTCTCCTCGGAAATGCATTCTCGCTGAAGTGGGACTATCGATGATGATTTCGAGAGATCTCGAACGCACGTTCGCTCCCATCGAATTTATTGTCGGAAGTCTCTTCCAAGCTTGACAGCTCCGCCTGCAGCTGGACCTCCGGCTGTCCTGCCGATCGAATATTATGGGAACGCAGGTCGGCCCGCTGGAATTGGAACATTTCAAAGTTCTCATTTAACTCGTCGAGCTCCTATGGGGATACGAGAACACTTTCGAAACAACTCTGGAGAACTAACACCGATCAATTTCGGGAATAACTACCGAACGAAGTATGCCGGGATACCATGTATCACCTCGACCCGTTCCTTCGAGCGATTTTGGTGGGCCAAAGATGACAGGTCGGGGCGTCTGGATAGCGACTCCGTCCGAGGGCAGGCTCATGGGTAACCTGCGCACTCGGGAGCGGGTTAGGGAAGGTACGACGACCGACGGATAACAGACGGGAGAGCAAACGGGCGACCTGGCTGTCTGCCTACCCGACAGCCAGCCAGCCAGCCCGCCCGCCTGTCGGTTAAGTTCGTTGGTCGACTGAGTGCAAGCTGCAACGAGAGCCAAGCAGCTGTATCCATGCACTCCGGGTTCTCGTTGACGCAGCGAATATTCAATCAGATCCCCCAGCTTCTTTGGGATAGGCCCGAGTTGCGCATGGGAAAAGTCGAGTACCACAGCCAGCATTTAGCCGAGCAGGCAGACGGCGGCCGCGAGCGGGACCGAAGCCCAAACCAGAGCCCACGAGGCAAGCAGACAGTCGACGGACAGACAGACGGACAGACAGACGGACACAGCGACCGACCGACTACCCGTGCAAGAAGGCTGTAGGAGACGCGTGGGGTACAGCGAAAGTCCGCAAACACATTTTAGGCGAATTGAAGAGGATCGACACGCCTCCCGAGGAAAGCTTCGCCAAGAATAAATCGGGCAAGCACTCTCTCGCGTGCCACCTTCCCCTATCTCTCGCTGTCTCATACCTCGGCTGGGGGAGGACGTGAACGACGACGGAGACGACGGCGAGGGGGAAGGGGCGAGCAAGCAAGCAACCCCCCGCCCACACGACGAGCCGAGCGTCACTCTGTCGAACAGGCGGGATGGAGATGACGACGACGACATTGTCGGAAACGACGGCGCCGCCACCTGAGCTTCGTATACCTTAACCGAAAAACTCGGTATAGCCCGCTTTCTTCTAGAAAAGAACTTTTCCAGCAAGTTCGGCGCAAGGACGACGCTCGCCGAGACCAACGCTCGGAGACCTCGTCCACGTGCTCGTGTCCTGCTGAAGGACCCAAGGAGGATCGAGAGCGATCAGACAAAGGGAATGGCCGAAGGAAGCTGAAAAGACAAACTGAGAGCATTCGGACTGGGAATACTCGTTCGTCTCTCAGCCGTCGGGAACAACATCCCGTACACCTGGAAAAATCAAGCGGGGAGTTCACGTGCCGCTCGCTAGCAGGTTTTGCTTCCGCGCGGATCTCGTGCTTTCCGTGTTCGCTCGAAGGCGTGACTCCGCGGTCCATTTACGTGATAGATTTGGAAACAGGGTCGTCCTGATGGGAATAAGGGAGTAGACAACAGGGGATGACGCGACATGAGCGGGGTCAGGGCATTGGAGACGTTCACCGAAGACGCACTGAGCGATATACAGCGGGAACGGGAGCGGAAGGCGTTTCCCCATACACGTTATTGGCGTTCTCCCCACGGAGCAGACGTTCGCCGCCCCTGCCGCCGCGGCTGACAGACGTTTGCGGCGGGCTTCTCTTTAGATGTCTAGACATTTTTCCGAGCTAAGAATCGCGAGTCCCGCATCCGATCGTATCGACAAGCGAGGGAACGACCACGGGGTCGGATGGAATCCGCAAAAAGGAAAAAGAAGAAACATTGAGGGACGAGGATCTCGGCGCATAACCCGTAAACTTATTGTTTCGAGCGATCCACAGCTCTCGTTACAGCCGCCGCGCTGCTCGCTCGCTTGCGGATATCCCGGAAGATCCTCCTCTCGTCTAAAAGGTCCTCGACAAGCCTCGAACCCGCAAGCGGAGAGGCCCCACAACGGTCGTCGTATCAGAGTAGGTATACGAGTCCGGGAGGAACAGGGACGGGCGCATGGAAGGGGAGCTCTGTTGATCAATGGCTCGCCTAAGCGTTTCCTCGTAGAGGAGTCCTCCGGTCGAGCTGGTGGCCAGGAGGCGAATAGATGGATAGATGCGCGGATGAATGGTCAGGGCTAAGTGGGGAAATCGTCGCCGGCTCCCTGCCAGCCGCCGCCGCCGCCATTATTGAAATAGGCTTGAACAAACTCGTCGACAAACCGTTCGCAAAGCCTTCTTCAATCAGTGCCTAACTAATCTTCCACAGTGACAGCCCGCTTGATTCACGGAAGCGCCCCGAGATCCACAGTGAGGCCACAACCGCCACCATCGCCGGGAAGCCCAGCACACGCGACGTTCGAATTCTATTGTAATAGCAAGCTACCGTGAGCCTTAAATCCCATAGACAGGTGGGAAAAATTCCGAGGGCCGGTCCTGGATAATTTCACTTCAGGACACGACGACGACGTTCGCCCGCCGAACACGCCCACGGAGTCGCGTTGACCTCGCAACGCAATGAGACGCCATGCTAGCAGCGTTCCAAGCGCGAAACCTCACCGTGGGGCTCACGTCCGTTCGGCGCGGCTGACGAAGCGCCGAGAAAACCCTTTCTCGTGCGGCAAGGAGGCGCGATCCGAGCAGCTGAGCCACCGTTTGACGACTAACGGTGCTGCTGGCTTCAAGATGGCTGCCGGACACTGTTGCTGAAGTCTACATGTGTGTCTATCTGTCTAACAGCATCAGCAGCACCGACTGCACTACTGCAAGAGCCGCTGCAACGATTTCATTCCTCCCGCCGGAACGTGTTATGCAAATATCCCTGATGCACTGAGGGCGTCCAGAGGGAGGCAAGCTGGCGAGCAAGCAAACGGCCGAGCAGCTAAGCAGGCAAGTAACACAATGATGAACGAACACCTGGCATTATTGCTCGTATTAAAGCCTGGGCCGATATTGATGCCCCGGGCATTATGACAGTCGGTGAATTAGCCGGCACACATTCGTGCAACTCAATCTTGCGAGAACCCCAACAATATTGGATATCAATCGCATATGGTAATTCCTCATGAAATCTTCCTATCCGTTTACGGGCCGTCATGGCGCCATGTATGGCTGATGCGGGGAATTACGCTTGCGGTATCGGGCGGGACCGAGACCTCCTCAGATCGCCGAATATACCCGATGAAATTCAGTCGGAGAACTCGGCTAACGTCAGACACCCGGACGAACCCACACACGAGCTATCGTGCTCACGCACGTCGAGCTCTCTTGAGACTCGAGTTTTAAGATGAAATTCTGAATTTTGGGATTCATTAAAAATCGTTCCCAGTCTCCTCAGCTCCGTCGGGAACATGACGGATGTTGCGAGCGCGTGGGACCTACCTTCTCGGAATCGATCATTCTCAAGTTTCCCGGGGATTGCGCCTAGAAAGCTCCCCAGCTCTGTATGATGATTCGGAAATGCGACAGGCTTGTTTTGTTCTGCCGTTCTCCGGTTCCGTGATACGTGATAACGGCATACGCAAAGCTGAAATAATCTGCGAACAACAACTCTTCGTCAAGATGAAAGGCTCCAGCCCCGCGGAGAGTTTCCGAAGAGGCGAAAATAGCTGCTCGGATGCGGCACGCTGTTGCTGCTGCTATTGCGTTCGCTTCCCCTTCCAGAGATGAGTTTCGCTCGGATCTGTTTACGGAACATGAGACTACTAAGGATCTGTAGCAGAATCAATTTCCTGAGAAACAAGAGAAAAGTACGGTTCGTACGCTCGCCGAACCGCTCCTCCGGAGACTTGTGCGCTTGGTTGGCTGATGCCCGATTCGAGATTCGCCGAGCTGAGGACCAGCATCCCGTGTGCATGTTATTTTTTTTATAATTCGAGTCTGCCCGTTCGCTTGATGGCGAATCCGTGAATCAATTCTACGGCTCTGCCCTGGGAGGATGATTCCCGTTTCGACCGTAAAGCTGCTCGCTGTGAGCGTAGTCATGTTGCAGATTTAGTCGTCGCAATAATCCACCCGTCGTGCGCCTGTGGAAATCCATTGGTGACGCTGCGCTCCGTTAGCATGTACTTCGCATGTTCTACGTACACCTAACAATGAGCTGCTCAGTCATGCAGTATGGCTGCTGCTATCGCTGGCAGACGCATAGTGATTCATAATTTACCAAACACGCCGTGCGACGTGGAATCGATTCCGGTGATAATAATTCCCCGAGCGTGGTATTTCGTCAACCCGGAACGCTTGCCGAGAAGCTCAGCATCCGGAGTTCGCCTCCCCGTTCGCGAAGAAATCGGTTCCGACGCTGTTTCGACCCGCGTCGCCGAGATCTGACGGTGGAGCGGACGCATCATTCCCCACAGTACGGAGCCGGTAAGCCAGCTGGAATTCGGAGTGCCGGTCATTCGGGAAGAGGATCGACATTCGTCGACTGTTCCAGAAAACAATGCCCCCGCATGGGTCAAGGCTGGGAGCCAGCGATCCAGCCGGCGGGCAAAATCGGATTTCCCCGCAAAAACCTCCGTCTGGGTCTCAAAGTGAGCCTGGGTTCGAATTCCTCGCGAACACATCCATAGCAGCCCTCCATGAGAGGGTTCCGTCCGGAATTTAGCCAGTCCTCTTCGCTCGTACGTCGTCTTCGCGCATCTGACCGGGAGGAATGCGTGATACGCTTCCAGTCTCAGGGTACATACGGATGCGGACACCGGTGGGCCATTTGTCGATTCGAGTCACAGAATAATTTCTCTGCGGAGTTCCGACGTTAAGCGCCACGAGGTGCCCCTGTATGGTCATTGCGGAACGAAAGTCAAGGTGTGCTTGTGGTTGATCGCAGTCTTCAGTCGATGGGTGCTTGGATGGAGATCGAGGCAATCTTCGCTTATCGCGTACTCGCACGCTTTTCCGCTCGGTCGCATAGGTCGGCAGCTTTTTCGGCCGATAGACAAACAAGATCCTGGCGCTTCCCCACTCTGAGTGGGCGCGCGCGAGTCGTTCTTGTTCACTTCCTTCGCCGTCGTGCAGATACGAAATACGTAACTATTTCTCGACGCCGCCCACGATGCCTCGCGAAATCTGAAGATGAGATGATTGCATTATTTCTCGGAGCAAGCCGACATGAATCGGTTTTTCGTTACGAGAAGAGTCCTTCGACAAAAAGGCGCATTATTCCGTAAGAAACGTTCCACTATCGCGACGCGAATCCGTGCGGCCAACTCCTCGTCTGATACCTGTGATTGACTGAGCGCTCTCTTCCATTTGGATTCCAGGTTTCACGATGAAGCGTTCAAATCACCTGCCCAGAATAGTCTATGCGGTAGCGGTCGTCGTTCTGAGCTGGCTACCGGTGGACTCCAGCTGCCCCTCGACGTCCACGATCTATCCGTGCAGGTGTTCCGGCTCCGAGGAAAACGGCTTGATTCTGGACTGCGAGGAGCTGAGTATCGCGATGCTGTACTCCGGCTTGACTCGATTGCAGAACGTTTCGATTTCGCAGCTGACTGTGTCCAACGCCACGATGAAAAGCCTCTACGGATCGCTGTTCCACTCGTTCTCAATAAGGAACCTCACTCTCACCAGAGGGGATTTGCGCCGAGTTCTGCCGGGGGTTTTCGATCCACTCAACGGAAGCATCGTCGATCTGGATCTACACGATAACCAACTGCTCGAAGTCCCTGTTGAAGCTATCAAACCCTTGAGCAATTTGTATTCACTCGACCTGTCGCACAATCGGATCGAATCGGTGTCAGACAACTCGTTCGCGACTCTCGGCCGCCTTTTCCAGATCAACTTGTCTCACAACAGGATCAAGAAACTGGCACCGAAAGCCTTCGTCGGCCAGAACAACCTGGAGAGGCTGCATCTTCAATTCAACGACATTTCCGCCTTCGACAAAAACACGTTCAGGAACATGAGGAAGCTGAAATACCTCGATCTGACGGCGAACAGCCTCGACAAAATTCTGAAGACCGATTTCCAGCAGCTGACCGGTATGTGGATTCTGAATATCTCGCAGAACCACATCACGACGATTCCTCGTTCGACTTTCGTCACGAACACGGTCCTCCGCGTTCTCAACATATCGCATAACAGTTTAGCCGAGATCGACCAGAATACGGTCAAAGGCCTCAGGTTCCTCCGCGATTCGTATTTCCGCGGTAATCGAATCAGCCAGGTCGATAAGAAGGCGTTCGCCGCCGCTAAACACATCCGCACCATCGATCTGGCCTTCAACAGGCTGCAGGACGTACCTTACGAGCAATTCGCCGAATTGCAATGGCTCGAGAAGCTCGACCTGAGCTATAACAACATATCGAGAATCGCCACGAACGCCTTCAGTAAAATGTACCAGGTCAACATCGATTTGAGTCATAACATCCTGAGCTTTGTCGGAAACAAATCATTTTCGGAAATTGCCAATATGACGCTGCTCGATCTCTCGTACAACCGGTTGAGCGAGATGCCGAACGATGCGTTCGTTCTGAGCGACTGCACGACGCTCAACCTGATGTTCAACAATTTCACCGACATCAACCGGATACCTATCGCGAATTTGAGCTCGATCAAAGTCTTGAACGTCACGCACAATTTCCTCGATCAGATCGGACGTAAAGCGTTCACGAAAAAACGTCTCTACGAATTGCATACGGTCGACTTTTCGTTCAACAATTTGTCCGACATCAGCGGCAACCCGTTCGAGAAATTCGCCAGTTTGCGATTCCTGAACGTGTCCCACAACCGACTTAGGAAAATTGGCTTTTCGACGTTCGGCAACCTGCCCACGCTTCTGGAGCTCGACGTGAGCCACAACAACATTTCCGAGGTGGTTCACTCGGGTCTGTCGAGTCTCGGCTCTGTGCGGCTCATCCTGGCGAACAACAATCGAATCCGAAAGATGTTTCCGATTCCGATCGCGCTGAACGAGCTGCACCTGCAGGACAACTCGCTACAACAGATCTATCCGGGCACGATCAATGTCATGAACTCGCTGCTGAGATTCTATCTCGACAACAACAACCTGACCAATCTTGTCAGAGGGGCCTTTGACGGCCTCAACGCTCTGCAGGAGCTCTCGCTCGGGGGCAACAATATCTCGGAGATTCCCTACGAGGCGCTCGAAGTTATGACAGCTATCCAGCACCTATATCTGCACAACAATAGCTTGACACTCGTAAAGAAGCGCGATTTTGACAAGTTCCCCACGCTACTTTCGCTACGTCTCGACCAGAACCGAATCTCGAACATCACGAAGGACGCTTTTCTTGGATCCATTCAACTGCAGCGGCTTAATATGAGTCATAATAACTTCAGCGAGTTATCTCCGACGGCTCTGAACGGGCTCGTTTCTCTAAAAGTTCTCGACCTTTCCAACAATCGGCTGAGGGGGCTCCAGAACAAAACCCACGGCTTACTGGACGGACTGCTCTCGCTCGAGTATCTCAACGTCTCGGCGAACGATATCGGAACAATCACTGATAAAACGTTCCCTCGTAATCCCTACGTTCCGTACAAGCTCAGAGAAGTAAACATGAGCTCGAACTTCCTCTCCTACATTCCGGTGCTTCGGCAGCCGTCGCTTCAGAGCGCAGACGTACTCGACCTTTCGAGAAACTCGATAAATCAGTTGGAACGCGGCGCTTTCGCCAACCTGACCAAGTTGAAACGGCTCTATCTCAGTCGGAACGATCTCAGGACCCTCCGTAACGGCTACTTGGAAGTGCCTCAAAACCTCACGCACCTCGATCTGTCGTACAACAAACTCTCCGAATACACCCCTCCCGAAGGGAGTCTCTGGATAAACATGACAGAGCTCAACATCCGCGGCAATAACATATCGAAGATTAGCCCGACTCTCTTCCCGATCGTGAAGCGTCGTCTGCAACTCTTCTATGAGGGTAAGGCAGCTCGGAAAAATCTTGCGTTTATCGGTTTTTCCAACGATTCATCATTTTAATTTTTCTGCGAAATCGATCGATGCACTTCGGCCAGCGGAGGTGGACGGAGCTGCAAGCGGAGTCGATGAGGTAACAGAGACTCATGCGTCGAGAGCCTCCGGATCGGCTTCTGACCCTGGCCCACGAGTCTCGTATGCTTATGCATGCACGCAGCGTAGTGCACCCTTCTCCGTCGATGGCCGTGCGGTCGAGCTGGTGCGATAAGCTGCCGATTGTACATATATCTGTTTCAGGTAACCCGCTAAACTGTGAGTGCTCGCTGGCCTGGCTCGTGTCCTTCATCAAACACAACCAGCGGGCTCACGAAGTCACGCAATGGTCCGACACGAGATGCGTGTCTCCGCAGCATCTTCGCAATAAGGCCTTCACGGAGATCGACCTGTCTAGACTCAACTGTGACGGTGACCCGACCGAACACACTATGGGGGATATAACATTCAGATTCGTGCAGGTATGTACCTATGTGAGCGAGCGTGCCTGTCGCCGGCGGGTCCGAGGCTCCGAGTTCCCGTGCGGAGTTCACGCGACGTGAATACCGAGACGCGCAATACCTACTTTTGAATAAATACCATTTAGAGAATGTTCGAAGCGCACCGCAGCCACCGCCATCAAGTTGATTATTATAATCCGCATGGACACGAATTGCTGCGAGATTTTTTCGGGCTCTCATATTTTTTGGGATCCACGATCACGTCGCTTTAACGATTATTGTTTTCCTTGTCCTCCCAGGTCCAGAGAAAATTTATCGAGGTCCAATTTTACGTATCGTCACGCCAGGATATCGGGGGCTTCCGCGTGCAGATTCGCTCATCGCCAGCTTCGAATGTATCCTACGACAAATACCTGCCGTATAGCAAACGATTCTACGCCATACCTCGTCGCGACATACAAACGACCGGTGATGTTCTCACGCATACTCTGTGCGTGTACGCTGTCGACTCGGAGAACAAAACGCGGCCGTTAGCGTCGACTCATCAGTGTCGCCTCCTCAACCAGGCGATCAATGCGGCTGTATCTGTTATCTGCTCGCGGTCGCTCATCCTCATGCTCACCGCGTTCGTTTGTCTCCAACGACCCCGGACCGCCTGAGTCGCTGAACGGAAGACGGGTGGAATTTCCGTGCTGAGAAAATTCGCGCCTTTCCGAGAAGATCTCCGAATGATTATGCTAGCGGCGGCCGAGTCCGCCGCGGTGGTCGCGACTGCTGTGGGAGAGGGGTGAGATTCAAGAGCCCACGGCAATGTGCAAAGTGTCCCTCTCGTCGAGAGAAGCAAACAGTTGGAACGGAATAATATGAATCTAATATGAAACACTCGACGCTTTTCGTTGTTGCCGCCACCGTCCTCACCGACGACGGCTGCGTCCACTCTCCGTCCCACGACGGTCGGTGCGGGGCTTCCCAGTTGACTGGCCTGGCCCGTCGAACCGGCCGACCGACCGACCAAGCGAGTGACTGACTGTCTGACTGGACTCGCAGACTTGTTGCGACCACTTCATGCTAAATTGAACTCCCATCCGTGTTTGCTGTCGCTCACATTGAGTGAGGTGCATTGAGATTGCCAGCCATCTAAGCATCCAGACAAGCGTACAAAACTGGTCGCAGCTAGCAGCCGGCCTGGCAGTAGAGCGAACGACCGACCGACCGTCCGACGAGGAAGAAGGAAGGCCCGGAGACCGACAAGCGAACTCACGCGAGGTTGGAGTTCACCGAGTTAGAACCGGCGGAGGGGCCGAACGCTCATCGCGACGAGTGTTCGCTCGCCTGTTCGGTTGCCTAGTTGCCAAATGGATCACACGGTGCGGCGGGACCGCTGCATGTATAGCAGTTATGCCTACCTGTATGGAGGTACATCGATATGCCAACGGCATGGTGTATGACTCTCCCGAGGGGACTCGTCGGAGGAGAGGGAGGGGAACGGGGAGGCGCCCTGAGCCAAAGTGAGATTGAAATCTGTAGAAGTCGGTGCATCGATTAGGTAGATTTTTTTCCCGTCGAGAGCTTGATCGAGAGCGATCTGGAGCGCGAATTAGTTATTGGTCGGATGGAAAGGCAGTCGAGTGATCGGAAATGACGAGCGCTCACTCCTGTTAGAAAGACGACGCCGAGGCCGCTCCGAGAAATGAGCAGATTTCCTCCCTGTGATATTCTGAACATAAGTAACTAAAATAGACTGTAAACCATGATGAGCCAAGCCTACTAATGATGAATTAGTATCGTGTTGTGACCCCCATGAATTGTTGGCAAGCTTCCACATGGAATAAACGCGGCTTCAAATAAGCTCAGAAATAAATTAATTGAGTTGTTGTTCTTTCAACCACTGAAGGATCATCGGGGGATGGGCCGCATTCGAAGTTTCTCGAAGCGACGAGAAATTGCGACAAGTTTCGCGAGACTCTGTTTACATGTGCGCCGTGGCGAGATTGCTAGGTAAGTATGTTGCGCCATCGCCGCGAGTCAAGAGCTTCAGGTGTGATGACGAGGCAGAGCATCAACGATGGAGCTCTCGGCGGCATCAGCTTGATCCTCCCGCGCACTAAATAGCAGCATTCGCTGCACCGTTGGGGCTGCGAGTATAAGTGCCTGAGAGGCTATGGGGATAGACGACGGACGAGTAGTTGGGTGGGTCGTACGGGCCGACCGCTTGCGCCCCGAGTGATCAAGCTACGAATGACGATCATTATCTTGTGCAGGCTATCAAACTGCTGAACTCATCAGGTCGCCGCCTCGCTTGCCTCCATGTTGCATCTTCACGGGAAGCAGAGCCGTCCTGCGAACCTTTGTCGGACCTCTTGCAGATAGGTCTCTGTTGTCTCCGGAGGTCGTCCCCGTTGATTGTTCTCCGTTGCTGAAGAGGTGGGCGTATCTCCGACCCCTCGGGTGATTGTCAAACTTCCAGGGTTTCCACCGGATCCCGACAAGACTCCACTTGGACGGGAGCTAGCTGCTAGAACTTCGAGTTGTGTGGGAACGTTTCATGAGTTTTTGGCCAAGGAATTACTTCCGACGACGACGGGTCCCCGCAGCGACGCCGAAGAAGGTAGCGGCCCCGTTGCGGCGTATTGTTCGACCATTGAAACGCGGAAAATTCTCAAATAGGGCCAACGAGCGCTGCGAGTGGGGGACCGCTCAGCGCAACAAGCGGAAAAGTAATGTACGGAAGAGGGCCAAGAGGAGATATAAATAATACACCCGCACTGAACGCGTCCCGTGAACCTTTTTGCTGCGTAGATCGCCGCCACGGTCCTCCACAAAGTTGAAGTGCACGTCCGTGTGCTTTGTTTGCCTTTCGTGGAGGTGCGATTGCGATGGAGCAGGGAAAATCTCGCGCCACGAAAAACAACTGCGCGAAAGGAGGAGCAAGAGGTGTAAACAGAGCACCGAGCGAATTTTCAAACCAAGCACCGTTCCTGAGACGCCGCGCCGGCAGTCGTATGTCGTTTTCCGTCTCTACGCGAATTTGTTGTTCTGACGTTCTATGGTGCGTCAAGTCGAGAATCGCGCGCTCTGGGAGAACGGAGATGACCGCAAACTCAGCCGGCAACCTCTCTCAGCCAGTCAGCCAGCCGACTCGCCGAAGCAATTGGTATGCCAGCAACAGCATCTATCGCTCCGTCTATCCAGCCGGCCGGCCGGCTGGCCGACCGACCATTCGTAGTTCTTTGCCAAGAGAAAGAGGAGAAAGAATGACCTCCCGCCTCCTCGACGGCCCCCATCGCCTCTGCTCGGTTCGCCCCATATTTCTTCCCGTGCGTCTCTTCTTGCACTGTTTAACTTAGCCGACGTGACCATATTTAAACAGTTTGCAGGGCTTAGCCCTCGGCAGCTCCGGCCGGTCGGCGTCCTGTTAGCCAGTAGTTCAATCCAATAAAGCTTCCTCAGTGGCTTCGCCGCTGCCGTCACCTTAGCGGGTCGGCCGCCATCTGGGAACCTCCGGCCCAGAATTGGCGAAGCAACAACGCACGAGTCCGGCTCTGCGCAGAGACTCTGAAGGATTCGTTCGAGAGTCGAGAGGAAAAAAACGGTCCACGTCCCTCTGCGGGGCCGGCGCATTTCTCATCGGATGCCTCTATCCGAGCGTTTTGATGTGGGCAGGAAATGTTTGGAACGCAAGGTACGCACTCTGCGGAGAGTTGTTAATTGTGTTGTGTTTGGCCCTAGGCGTTGGTTGGTGGTGGCCATCTCTAGAGACCCGAGTCTCAGCCTGCTGGCTCCGTAGGAATCCCACCCGCGAGCTCCCGGCTGCCATTTCGAATGGCCGACCGACCGGTCGCCCGCCTGCCTTTCCGCCACTCGGTCGGTGCGATCCTGAGCCAGCACATAGTGTTGTTGCGCGGGAAACACAGTTAAACAATTCAATCGTTGGAAATTGGACAGCCATTCGGTCGCCTGTTTGGTTTTCCGGCCGCTCAGTCTCTTCGGAGACTCGAGCGACCGACGTGGGCTTCAAGCTTCGGAGTCCGCTACAGCTTATGTCGTCGAAGCTGCGTCATGGCGAGGAAACACGATTAGTCCTTCCATCCGTGGTGGGATAGGATCCGCTGAACGATTCTGCGGAGCTTTCACGGCCTGTCGACAAGGATCGGAATTTCATGAATAAAAGTTCTGCATGAGTATTCAGAGCTACGACTTCCTCCCTCGGGGTCACCGCTCGTTCCTCGGGGCTGACCGCTAAGTGGAATCCTCAGCTCCGAGTTCCGAGCGTAGTTTTCGCTTGACCGAAAGGAACGATCGTCTCCGAAGGCTATGAGGCCAAAAGTGGAAGCGGCTGCGGCACTGCTGCGCCGAAGTTGCCGCTATTGCAGCTGCAACTAGGATAAGGAAGAATAGGAGAAGAACTCCAAATGAGCGAGCTGGCGGAGAAAAGGAAACCACAGCCGATTGTTGCGCTCGCACAAGTGAGCATTAAGGAAGGCAGAGAAATAATAAAAATAAAATTGCCTCTTAGGCCGCCGCAGCGACTGGGTCTGCCGCTCTACTACCATTTCCTTCTTGCCTGGCTCATCGCGGCCCGCTCGCCAGGCCGCCTGCCCGACTGACTGGCTGGCTTGAGGGCTTGCTTCTCCTTCTAGCATCCGGATGTTCTCTTATTTAAGGACGCTGCTCACGTTTAAGGAGAAATCTCTGCTTATAAATGTGCTTATCAGACGGCGCGTTCGCCCGCTCACTCGCTCGCCCATCCGTCCGTCCGTCCGTCCGACCAACCGTCCGTACATCGGTGTGCCGCTAGCGTTGAAGTCCGTTTGTCCGCTCGCTGGTTCGTCTGCCAACCAGTCGGAAACCCGAGCCTAGCCCCAGCGGCCGACCAAAAGCCCCCAGTACGCCAAGACGATGGAGTCGTCAAGAGCCGTTCGACGGCGAGGTCCGAAACGCTCAGCACGCGAGGGTCGACCGTCTACAGGAAGCCTTCATCCAAGTGATTTGAGCCGACCGACGACGCACGACTCGTAAGCCGAGCGAATGACGGATGCGCGGACCGACAAGCGGTCCCACAGAACTCTAAGCTTTCCTAGAGGCTTAGTGTAGGAGATCCTTGTGCGATGGGATCGCAACTTTGTCAATTTCGCTCGACCGCTCCGGAACGAATCGACGATGCCATGGAGTTCCCGAATGTTTACGAACGGCGCAATCGGATAGTCATTGCGGAAGCGATCACAAGATCGGCTCAGTGGGGGAGTCATTCGCACAATTCCTCCGTCCGTCCGCCCGCCGGATTAGGAATTCTCGACTCGCTTAGCCTCTCGAAAATGGAAGTGAAACTCGGAGCGGCACGACATTTAAGTGAGCACTGAACTTCTTCAAACGGCATCCGGAGGAGGGAGAGAGGCGGCGCAATAGGCGAAGAATCACGACGGCGAGCGAGCCTTCAGAACGAGTTGAAGGGAATAGTGGTCCGGTCGCTCGCTTCTTCGCTCGTGTTGTTGCTAGGCTCCCGCATGCGATTTGCATCCGTTGCTTGCTCTTCTTCGCCGCAGCGGTTTATTGGCGTGGCTAGCAAGTTCTTCCCGAGCGACGGACTCTGGCTTTTGGCCCGCTCGGGAGCTGGGGACCGAGCATCCAACGAGCACCCAAACAAGCGAGCACGCGAGCG